TTGTTCATTTATTACTCTTCAAAACTATATTAATTGCCGCAAATTTAGTTGATTTGCGTGTCCTGTGGGAAAATTTTTTAATATATTATTGTCGTTAAAATTGGAATTGATATTAATTTTTAATTGTAGTTTTGATTTGTTCAGTGTCATGCAATGACAGGTATTGTTGTCTTTGTTATGGAATATATAATGAATAATTATAATAATCAGGAAATATTATTATGACTACTTACTCATTTAAATGAATAATAAATTAAAAATTTCATAAATTAGGTTTGATAAATATTGTGTAATTATAATAATTAGTGTAGCGTATATGTGGCGATGTCAACACCATCTGTGGAGTGAGGTAATTGATAATAATGTTTATTATTCAATTGAACTTATAGTAACAACAACAAAATATTTTACAGGAGTATAATTTTAATCAATAATTATAATTGTTTACCTAGTGATAACTAGATAATTTCATCGGTGTTTGGATAGGTTATAATATATATATATATATATATATATATATATATATATATATATATATATATATATATATATATATATATATATATATATATATATGTCGTACCTAGTAGCCAGAACTCACTTCTCAGCCTACTATGTAAGGCCCGATTTGCCTAATAAGCCAAGTTTTCCTGATTTAATATATTTTCTCTAAATTTTTTCTTATGAAATGATAAAGCTACCCATTTCATTATGTATGAGGTAATTTTTTTTTTATTGGAGTTAAAATTAATGTAGATATATGACCGAACCTAACCAACCCTACCTAACCTAACCTATCCTATCTTTACAGGTTAGGTTAGGTTAGGTAGCCGAAAAAGTTAGGTTAGGTTAGGTTAGGTAGGTTAGGTAGTCGAAAAACAATTAATTCATGAAAATTTGGCTTATTAGGCAAATCGGGCCTTGCATTGTAGGCTGAGAAGTGCGTTCTGGCTACTAGGTACGACATATATATATATATATATATATATATATATATATATATATATGCAAACAAGCCTGAATGGTCCCCAGGACTATATACAACTGAAAACTCACACCCCAGAAGTGACTCGAACCCATACTCCCACAACTGGTATGTACAGGGACGCCTTAATCCGCTTGACCATCACGACCGGACAAAAGGAAGTGATAGCCGAGGCTATATGAACCACTTCCCCGCCGGCACTCGGATGGTAATCTTGGGCATAGCATTTTATCAAATCACCTCATTCTTTGGGGCACACGTGAGGAACACAAATGCAAACAAGCCTGAATGGTCCCCAGGACTATATACAACTGAAAACTCACACCCCAGAAGTGACTCGAACCCATACTCCCACAACTGGTATGTACAGGGACGCCTTAATCCGCTTGACCATCACGACCGGACAAAAGGAAGTGATAGCCGAGGCTATATGAACCACTTCCCCGCCGGCACTCGGATGGTAATCTTGGGCATAGCATTTTATCAAATCACCTCATTCTTTGGGGCACACGTGAGGAACACAAATGCAAACAAGCCTGAATGGTCCCCAGGACTATATACAACTGAAAACTCACACCCCAGAAGTGACTCGAACCCATACTCCCACAACTGGTATGTACAGGGACGCCTTAATCCGCTTGACCATCACGACCGGACAAAAGGAAGTGATAGCCGAGGCTATATGAACCACTTCCCCGCCGGCACTCGGATGGTAATCTTGGGCATAGCATTTTATCAAATCACCTCATTCTTTGGGGCACACGTGAGGAACACAAATGCAAACAAGCCTGAATGGTCCCCAGGACTATATACAACTGAAAACTCACACCCCAGAAGTGACTCGAACCCATACTCCCACAACTGGTATGTACAGGGACGCCTTAATCCGCTTGACCATCACGACCGGACAAAAGGAAGTGATAGCCGAGGCTATATGAACCACTTCCCCGCCGGCACTCGGATGGTAATCTTGGGCATAGCATTTTATCAAATCACCTCATTCTTTGGGGCACACGTGAGGAACACAAATGCAAACAAGCCTGAATGGTCCCCAGGACTATATACAACTGAAAACTCACACCCCAGAAGTGACTCGAACCCATACTCCCACAACTGGTATGTACAGGGACGCCTTAATCCGCTTGACCATCACGACCGGACAAAAGGAAGTGATAGCCGAGGCTATATGAACCACTTCCCCGCCGGCACTCGGATGGTAATCTTGGGCATAGCATTTTATCAAATCACCTCATTCTTTGGGGCACACGTGAGGAACACAAATGCAAACAAGCCTGAATGGTCCCCAGGACTATATACAACTGAAAACTCACACCCCAGAAGTGACTCGAACCCATACTCCCACAACTGGTATGTACAGGGACGCCTTAATCCGCTTGACCATCACGACCGGACAAAAGGAAGTGATAGCCGAGGCTATATGAACCACTTCCCCGCCGGCACTCGGATGGTAATCTTGGGCATAGCATTTTATCAAATCACCTCATTCTTTGGGGCACACGTGAGGAACACAAATGCAAACAAGCCTGAATGGTCCCCAGGACTATATACAACTGAAAACTCACACCCCAGAAGTGACTCGAACCCATACTCCCACAACTGGTATGTACAGGGACGCCTTAATCCGCTTGACCATCACGACCGGACAAAAGGAAGTGATAGCCGAGGCTATATGAACCACTTCCCCGCCGGCACTCGGATGGTAATCTTGGGCATAGCATAGGAAGTGGTTCATATAGCCTCGGCTATCACTTCCTTTTGTCCGGTCGTGATGGTCAAGCGGATTAAGGCGTCCCTGTACATACCAGTTGTGGGAGTATGGGTTCGAGTCACTTCTGGGGTGTGAGTTTTCAGTTGTATATAGTCCTGGGGACCATTCAGGCTTGTTTGCATTTGTGTTCCTCACGTGTGCCCCAAAGAATGAGGTGATTTGATAAAATGCTATGCCCAAGATTACCATCCGAGTGCCGGCGGGGAAGTGGTTCATATAGCCTCGGCTATCACTTCCTTTTGTCCGGTCGTGATGGTCAAGCGGATTAAGGCGTCCCTGTACATACCAGTTGTGGGAGTATGGGTTCGAGTCACTTCTGGGGTGTGAGTTTTCAGTTGTATATAGTCCTGGGGACCATTCAGGCTTGTTTGCATTTGTGTTCCTCACGTGTGCCCCAAAGAATGAGGTGATTTGATAAAATGCTATGCCCAAGATTACCATCCGAGTGCCGGCGGGGAAGTGGTTCATATAGCCTCGGCTATCACTTCCTTTTGTCCGGTCGTGATGGTCAAGCGGATTAAGGCGTCCCTGTACATACCAGTTGTGGGAGTATGGGTTCGAGTCACTTCTGGGGTGTGAGTTTTCAGTTGTATATAGTCCTGGGGACCATTCAGGCTTGTTTGCATTTGTGTTCCTCACGTGTGCCCCAAAGAATGAGGTGATTTGATAAAATGCTATGCCCAAGATTACCATCCGAGTGCCGGCGGGGAAGTGGTTCATATAGCCTCGGCTATCACTTCCTTTTGTCCGGTCGTGATGGTCAAGCGGATTAAGGCGTCCCTGTACATACCAGTTGTGGGAGTATGGGTTCGAGTCACTTCTGGGGTGTGAGTTTTCAGTTGTATATAGTCCTGGGGACCATTCAGGCTTGTTTGCATTTGTGTTCCTCACGTGTGCCCCAAAGAATGAGGTGATTTGATAAAATGCTATGCCCAAGATTACCATCCGAGTGCCGGCGGGGAAGTGGTTCATATAGCCTCGGCTATCACTTCCTTTTGTCCGGTCGTGATGGTCAAGCGGATTAAGGCGTCCCTGTACATACCAGTTGTGGGAGTATGGGTTCGAGTCACTTCTGGGGTGTGAGTTTTCAGTTGTATATAGTCCTGGGGACCATTCAGGCTTGTTTGCATTTGTGTTCCTCACGTGTGCCCCAAAGAATGAGGTGATTTGATAAAATGCTATGCCCAAGATTACCATCCGAGTGCCGGCGGGGAAGTGGTTCATATAGCCTCGGCTATCACTTCCTTTTGTCCGGTCGTGATGGTCAAGCGGATTAAGGCGTCCCTGTACATACCAGTTGTGGGAGTATGGGTTCGAGTCACTTCTGGGGTGTGAGTTTTCAGTTATATATATATATATATATATATATATATATATATATATATATATATATATATATATATATATATATATATATATATATATATATATATATATCCAGCACACGAAGATGTCAGCGACGTCATCAAGAGGAGCCGCAGCTCGCTGCCCTACACAACTAGAACCAATTGTAGTGTGGAGGACAACAACAACAATACACACCAAATGGCAGTGTGTGGAACTACACGTGTGCCTACGATTTGGTCAAAACGCCTTTCCTCAACTTAGGAAACCATTAGGAAACCAAAAGGGAAGGAGGTTCTGCTACAGCCATAGAGACCAAGAAAATTCCCAAATATTTAAGTCTTTTATAATGTTTAAACTTCTTTCAGGTATGCTCACGCACATTATGCTCATTGGGTAACTGTGCACTGAAATTCTTGAATGAATTAGCTAATTATTCAGCCTAAGAAACCCAGAGATAACAGATTTCTGTTCCAGTGCATTAGCATTGTCATTAAATTAGGAAAAGCGTACAGCATTCAAGCGTACAACAGAGTATAGCGTACAGCCCCTCACCTCCGGAAGGCTATATAAGAAGTTCAATTTGAAATGAGTGTTATGTTTAATAATAAAACCATATCTGTTACCCAACACATTCAGAAATTGGAGAGCACATGTATCCTAGAAGCCAGTCTCTCAAAACCTATTAGGACGATGCTGTTGAATCGTGCAAGGCCTCTGTGACTGCCTGTACGCTGGGGTTTCTTTAAGGTAGTCTTTAGATCCTCGTGACAAGAATAGTGCGTTGGATAATTTGGCTGCACGTGTCTAAGTTAACACTTTATATTTACCATGCTTCCAGGAACATATAGTAAAGTCCATCTAGGCGCTTCTAGCTGTATCCTGGTTTTCACATTTCATGATCTATTTATTGTTTCAGATATATTGGAGGTGAGTCTATGGAGGTGGCAAAGCTAAGGACTGCATTAATGCAGAGGGCCTTAAGATCATGAGGAGTGCTTAGGGAGGAATTAGTGTCAGTCAATGGGAAATCCCATACATAAGGAGCAATAAATGTTTCTGTACTTTATCCAGCATTGTTGAGTGATAATTCTACAAGGAAATTTTTCAGTTGGGACTGTTTGGAGCCAGTCCGATAGTATATGACAAAAAGGTTTGCAAGACGTAACAGTGTGATAAGAGTTCTGAAGAAGGTAACAAAGTATTAAGAAAACATTAGTTCCAGGTGATGTTGGGTTTGCAGCACCACTAGTTCACTAGATCCTGAAGATGTTGGAAGCATACCACTAGTTCCTAGAGATGTTGGGGACACACCACTAGTTCCTGAAGATGTTGGAGGCACACCACTAGTTCCTGGAGATGTTGGAGGCACACCACTAGTTCCTGGAGATGTTGGGGACACACCATTAGTTCCTGGAGATGTTGGAAGCATACCACTAGTTCCTAGAGATGTTGGGGACACACCACTAGTCCCTGGAGATGTTAGAGGCACACCACTAGCTCCTGGAGATGTTGGAGGACAAACAAAAAAACTAGTATCTTGTGATGGGAAGACTAGAGCCTGGGGAGGAGAGCCAGGGCCGTGGCAGCTATGAGGAGTGTGAGGGAGGTGGTCGTGGAAGACGTGCCTCCGGTTCCAGGAATATTGTGGATGCTGTTGCCATCATCGCCGCCGCCACCTCCGCCTGTGGAGGAACCCCACACAACAACAATTTGTATTAGTTGCTTATTTAATTAATTTTTGAATATTTTAGCTATACTATAAATCAATCTCTGGATAATAAATATTTGTGAATATTGGCCTTAAAGCCCCTTAACCAAGGCAAGAAACATTAATAGTACTGGGCATTAATGGGGTCGTTAAATACCATGATGGATCCACAACTGTCTCCACTGATGTAGCTGTAACCATACCCTATGACGAGCGTGTGTGGATGTCTCGTTGTTTATTACAGTTTGGGTATGAACATTAAAGAAAATGGATCTTCCTTGACAGTATCAAAAGAAAATTAATGTTATTCCTTCTATAAGATCTCTTTCTATTTAGTATTGCCTCCTTTATTTCCCCTTCCCAGACAGACCTCTGGCTTAGACCAGTGTAAAGTCCTACACTCTTGTTACGAGTCCACCCAAGTTGTCACATCATTTGTAAAACGATGGCTGCCCGGACCTTAGCAACACCCTGCATGTGATCGGAATCCCTTACATCCTTGAACATGTGATCGGAATCCTTTTCTTCTTTATAGCATGGGATCAGAATCCCTCCCATCCATCCTGCTACATGTGAATGGAATTCCTTCCTCTGAACGTGTGATTGAAACCCCCTTCCTTCTTCCTAACATGTAATCAGAATCGCACCCTTCCTTATAACATGCTTCCAAAATCCTTATTTTCTCTTCCTCCTAACATATGATGGGAATCCCTCCCATCCTCCTAACATATGATCTGAATCCTTTCCATCCTCCAAATAATTTATAATGCTTTATATTACTTACTTTCAATTTCTTACTCTTACCAACAACTGTTCCTCCCGCAGATAAACAAATAAAGGATTTGTTTATACAACCGAATACAAATAGTCTCCACTAAATCGCGTGTATCCTGCACTGTTGCATGTGCATACAGTTGCGGGCACCAGACTAGGGAAAAGGATATCGTCAAATTAGCAGTCGAGCGTCGAGCAGCACAAAATTGTTGTACCTTGACTTGAGTACCTTGATTTACTCACGGTGCTCACGGACCTTGAGCACTTTGTACTTTGATTTCGATTCAGTGCCTCAAGGAAGACTGCTAAGAAAGGTAGAGGCTCATGGTATTTGGGGTGCTATCTTAAGATGTATAATTTTTGGATATTTCAAAGGAAACAAATTGTTTGTATAAGAGGAGTTATATTAGAGTGGGAAGCCGTTATAAGTGGAATGCCTCAGAGGCACTCCCTAGGGCACTCCCCAGGGCACTCCCCAGGCCACTCTCCAGGGCACTCCCAAGGGCACTCCCAGGGCACTCCCAAGGCACTCCCAAGGGCACTCCCAGGGCACTCCCAAGGCACTCCCAGGGCACTCCCCGGGCACTCTCCAGGGCACTCCCAAGGGCACTCTCCAGGGCACTCCCCAGGGCACTCTCCAGGGCACTCTCCAGGGCACTCCCCAGGGCACTCTCCTGGGCTCTCCCCAGGGCACTCTCCAGGGCACTCCCAAGGGCATTTCCAAGGGCACTACCAAGGGCACTCCCCAGGGCACTCCCAAGGGCATTTTGACCATCCATGGGTCTCTGTTGTTAATTGTTTATTTAAATTCAGGAATGAGCATCATATATATACACATTTACAGACGATACCAAAATTGGGCAGAACAATATATACAAAATCAAACATAAAATAACGTTACGACGATCTGGACAGGCTTCCGAAATGAACAAAAGAAACAGATGTAGTTTATGCAGGAATGCAAATGTAGGGCTTCAAGACAAGGTCAAGTGGCCGATATCAGAAGGAGAGTGACAGATATCAGCTGGAAAGTGCCAGATGTCAGCTAGAGAGTGCCAGATATCAGCTGGAGAGTGCCAGATATCAGCTTTAGAGTACCAGATATCGGCTGGAGAGTGATGAAATTGCGACGTTTGTATGTATAAGAGATCTGGGGTCATGATTGGTAGGAATTTAAAGCCAAAAAAAGATATTTATGAATGTTTGGGATAAAGCAAATAGGATACTGGAATTTATTAGTAGAAGTGTTAGCTATAAAATAATGTTTTATAGCTAACACGTTTCTAACACGTTTAATGTTTCTCCAGCTGTATTTTGCCCTTGTTACAATATTTTAATTATGCAGTTGAATCTTGGACGCCATACTACGAAGCTGACGCATCTGTCACTCAATCTTGCTTTTCAATCACTAATAAGCTGTCATTTTTTTTCTTACAGTCTAATTAGTTTTCTCTTCAGATCATGAACGTATTATATAGCAACAATGATTTTTTTTATTTTTCAGGGCTTCAACGTTTTTCTTTATTACCTTATTAGCATATTATTTTTATCTATTCCTCTCCTGAGTTCACCTAGTTGCAATTTTGTGCAATTTTCGTATTTCTTTTAACTGAATACACATTTTTAGTAGTTAAGTAGTATGTCTTCTATCACACTTATATATTGTTTGGAGCCACTTTCCTCATGATGTGAGGTTGAGAAAGCTTAGTTTACATCCCCCAGAAAGCTTAAAGAATTAGAGGTGATAACTGAAGAGTATGACTGGGTATAACAAAAGGGATATTAATGTGTTAAATATATCAACATAAGATAATACACGAAACAATGGCTGTAAATTGGTTAGGTTTAGATTTTTATATATTTTTATGTATATATACAAGAGTTCTAACATTCTCGTAACGCCTCTAGCAAGCATAGCGTTTTTGGGCAATTTAGGACAGACCGAGATAGATCTAGTTTGGAAACAGGTTGGTTGATTTGCGGAATAGATTACCTCGTTGCATAATAGACATGGGATAGATGGACGGTTTCAAGCATAGGTTAAACATATATATGTATGAGAATAGTTGGATAAATATTCTATCTGCCTCTCATAGGCCTAAAGGCCTTTCGTATTTTTTATGCTCATGTTGATACGATAGTTTGCTAGCCGGGGAGACGGCACTTACCGCTAAGGGGCTTGTTGCCAGGACCAATGTTGCATTTAGGCGTCCTGCAGTAGGTCTTGTAGTTGACCTGCGTCAGGTCCTTGACGGGCGTGAAGCCGTCCTTGGGGCAGTTGGGCTGGCAGGAGCGACTGAAGGAGACTATCTGTCCTGCTCGACCCAGCGCCAGACACACAGGTCGACCCAGCGCCAGACACACACGGAGAAAGGGTTAAGTCAGCATTGTGTTAGTGTGTTAATAAGGGCTCAAGAAGTGAAACATTTAGAAACAATATTAGCTACTGTCAATTACAATGTGTTAAATGACTGAAGTTGTCGGAAAAACCGACACCATTTACTAACTTTCAATACAATATGCAGGTAATATTGCTGCTATTTTGTACTAAGAAATTAAACCTAAAGTAGCTTTAATCAATTATAGAAATCGAGATTCCAGTGGAAATTTCCTCGGGAGAAAACGGGAAATCAATTTCATGTAGCCATTAAATTCATCAGCTAATAATTTTGTGAATTCCTCTTAAAACACCTGTCTGGCATTAGAATCAATAAAAAAAGTATTCTCTATGACTGGATCTAATATAACTACCAACATACTGAAGTCTACCTCCCCCATTGTCAATAAAAGGACAGTATAGGAACCAGGGAACCAAGGAGGTGGGCGTCTCTCTGAGCCGAGAGGGGAGGCAGACACCAGTAATTTAACGTAAACAATGAAGTCTCGTTAGAGCAGATCAAGCTCTGCAATTATTTCCCTCTGGACACAGTGTTACGGGACCAAAAACGTCCCTTCACCAGTACGATCTTCGTCAACAACAAGGGAAATGTTCTGTACTCGATTCCATCTCTGTCTAGCTTTGTCTGGCCACTAATAATAGATTAGGGAATACCGATAAGAATGCATGGCGAGCCACCCAAACAGGGTAATTATTAATTAAATCTTATCAAATAAATTACAATATTTACCCCCTGATATAACTGTCATATATATAGGTTACGATTGTTATTGTGGGTGACTTTTGACAGGTGAAAGAGAAGGGGAAGAACAATCACCTGGCACAACACGTGACACGGGAAGACACTAGTACAACACGTGACACGGGACGACACTAGCACAACACGTGACACGGGAAGACACTAGTACAACACGTGACACGGGAAGACACTAGCACAACACGTGACACGGGAAGACACTAGCACAACACGTGACACGGGACGACACTAGCACAACACGTGACACGGGAAGACACTAGCACAACACGTGACACGGGAAGACACTAGCACAACACGTGACACGGGAAGACACTAGCACAACACGTGACACGGGAAGACACTAGCACAACACGTGACACGGGAAGACACTAGCACAACACGTGACACGGGAAGACACTAGCACAACACGTGACACGGGACGACACTAGCACAACACGTGACACGGGAAGACACTAGCACAACACGTGACACGGGAAGACACTAGCACAACACGTGACACGGGAAGACACTAGCACAACACGTGACACGGGAAGACACTAGTACAACACGTGACACGGGAAGACACTAGCACAACACGTGACACGGGAAGACACTAGTACAACACGTGACACGGGACGACACTAGCACAACACGTGACACGGGAAGACACTAGCACAACACGTGACACGGGACGACACTAGCACAACACGTGACACGGGAAGACACTAGCACAACACGTGACACGGGAAGACACTAGCACAACACGTGACACGGGACGACACTAGCACAACACGTGACACGGGAAGACACTAGTACAACACGTGACACGGGAAGACACTAGTACAACACGTGACACGGGACGACACTAGCACAACACGTGACACGGGAAGACCTGGTACAACACGTGACACGGGAAGACACTAGTACAACACGTGACACGGGAAGACACTAGCACAACACGTGACACGGGACGACACTAGCACAACACGTGACACGGGAAGACCTGGTACAACACGTTACACGGGAAGACACTAGTACAACACGTGACACGGGAAGACACTAGCACAACACGTGACACGGGAAGACCTGGTACAACACGTGACACGGGAAGACACTAGCACAACACGTGACACGGGAAGACACTAGCACAACACGTGACACGGGAAGACACTAGCACAACACGTAGCACAACACACACAACACGTGACACGGGAAGACACTAGCACAACACGTGACACGGGAAGACACTAGCACAACACGTGACACGGGGACACTAGCACAACACGTGACACGGGAAGCTAGTACAACACGTGACACGGGAAGACACTAGCACAACACGTGACACGGGAAGACACTAGCACAACACGTGACACGGGAAGACACTAGCACAACACGTAGACACTAGCACAACACGTGACACGGGAAGACACTAGCACAACACGTGACACGGGAAGACACTAGCACAACACGTGACACGGGAAGACACTAGCACAACACGTGACACGGGAAGACACTAGCACAACACGTGACACGGGAAGACACTAGCACAACACGTGACACGGGAAGACACTAGCACAACACGTGACACGGGAAGACACTAGCACAACACGTGACACGGGAAGACACTAGCACAACAACACGTGACACGGGAAGACACTAGTACAACACGTGACACGGGACGACACTAGCACAACACGTGACACGGGAAGACACTAGCACAACACGTGACACGGGAAGACACTAGCACAACACGTGACACGGGACGACACTAGCACAACACGTGACACGGGAAGACACTAGTACAACACGTGACACGGGAAGCCACTAGTACAACACGTGACACGGGAAGACACTAGCACAACATGTGACACGGGAAGACACTAGCACAACATGTGACACGGGAAGACACTAGTACAACACGTGACACGGGAAGACACCTGGCACAACACGTGACACGGGAAGACACTAGCACAACACGTGACACGGGAAGACACTAGCACAACACGTGACACGGGAAGACACTAGCACAACACGTGACACGGGAAGACACTAGCACAACACGTGACACGGGAAGACACTAGCACAACACGTGACACGGGAAGACACAACAACACGTGACACGGGAAGACACTAGCACAACACGTGACACGGGAAGACACGGGAACGTGACACTAGACACTAGCACAACACGTGACACGGGAAGACACTAGCACAACACGTGACACGGGAAGACACTAGCACAACACGTGACACGGGAAGGAAGACACTAGCACAACACGTGACACGGGAAGACACTAGCACAACACGTGACACGGGAAGACACTAGCACAACACGTGACACGGGAAGACACTAGCACAACACGTGACACGGGAAGACACTAGCACAACACGTGACACGGGAAGACACTAGCACAACACGTGACACGGGAAGACACTAGCACAACACGTGACACGGGAAGACACTAGCACAACACGTGACACGGGAAGACACTAGCACAACACGTGACACGGGAAGACACTAGCACAACACGTGACACGGGAAGACACTAGCACAACACGTGACACGGGAAGACACTAGCACAACACGTGACACGGGAAGACACTAGCACAACACGTGACACGGGAAGACACTAGCACAACACGTGACACGGGAAGACACTAGCACAACACGTGACACGGGAAGACACTAGCACAACACGTGACACGGGAAGACACTAGCACAACACGTGACACGGGAAGACACTAGCACAACACGTGACACGGGAAGACACTAGTACAACACGTGACACGGGAAGACACTAGCACAACACGTGACACGGGAAGACACTAGCACAACACGTGACACGGGAAGACACCAGCATCACCTACACGGAGTATTTGTCTGTGATCATCCGTATTTATATCTGGTTGTCCAGGGCCCAACTACTATCCATATAAAGCTTCCCCAGTATTTACTAACTTATGTAGTCTTAACATTGTAGTCAAGGTCTACCAATTAATAATTTCGATTGATAGACTATATATATGTATATAAGTAATAATAATAAAAAAACAGATTGTATAGGAAACGATTTGTGGGAATAAAATCATACAGTCCGCTATCAAAACAAATAAATTAATGTAATAAATGGATAATTATGTAAATTAATATAAAATAATAAATTGTAAATAAATCAATAAATCCCACGAGTCAGTTACCTCCATACCAATCACACATCATTACTGTACTTCTTTACTGTGTTCTCCTTCTGGTCAGTTGAGTCACACGTCATTGTTATTGTATTTGTTTGTTCATCATCGTTAAATGTTTATATTCTCCTAATTCTAAACAAACTCATACTTTATTTGGCTTAAGAACAGTACCGTAAATCATTAGACATCAGTGTACAGTAAGAGTTTACCACGCATCCTCTTTATCTACTTATATTTTTTTAAACTAAGACTAGGGTTCATAAGGGCTGTGAAATGACGTCACAGGCAAGCAAGAGCTGTTATCCTACCTAAGCTCAGTTGAAGCCTGCTAGAGACACATTTATTTCTTGAGAATGAACTTTGAAACAGTCACATAGGGAACTATCATTTAATGAACCTGGTGAAACTGAAAGCATGCTCTGTAATCCTACCTCAGCTCAGTTGAAACCTACTCCTAGAGACCCATTTACTTCATGAGTCTGTTATATGCATTAATAGGAGTTGCCTTTATTCATTAACAACATTAAGTAACAATCATATAAGGAACAGGATGAGTATGTAGCCAGGCTCATCCTGTTCCTTATATGATTGTTACCCACAAGTCTTCATGTGATCAGTTGACCTGTTCTCCCGTGTATCAACCTGTTGAGCGAACAAGTTCCAGATGCAAAACAGCCTAGGAGTGAACGATCACTGATATCGCTTACTCTCTCTCCATTTGTCTATGTCTGTCTGTATGTCTGTCTGTCTGTCTGTCTGTCTGTCTGTCTGTCTGTCTGTCTGTCTGTCTGTCTGTCTGTCTGTCTGTCTGTCTGTCTGTCTGTCTGTCTGTCTGTCTCTCTCTCTCTCTCTCTCTCTCTCTCTCTCTCTCTCTCTCTCTCTCTCTCTCTCTCTCTCTCTCTCTCTCTCTCTCTCTCTCTCTCTCTCTCTCTCTCTCTCTCTCTCTCTCTCTCTCTCTCTCTCTCTCTGTCTCTCTCACCTGGGCTCTCGAGGTACTCCTGGCGAGTGATGGTGCAGCAGATGTCCTCGCCTGTGTGACAGTCAGTGATCGGGGAGCCATTGGCCACGTTGTCCGGTTCGTTGACGCAATAGAGGTTGTTGGCGTCACTGGTGCAGGTGTAGCACTGGACACTGC